CATTAAGGACGCTGCTGGACACACCTTTGCCACCCGGTGAGTGAAAAGGATTCGATGCAAGATGAGACACAATTCTGGAATGAGTGACAGCTTGATTTAGCTTGTGCTTTCGCTGGTAGCATCTGAATTTCCGAACTGAACGAAAAATCACTCAGTTTCGAAGAGGTGTCTCATATGGCAAAATCCTTTATTTGGTGGTGAAAATATGAGGGCCGGGGCCTAATGGCATAACCACCGGTCGAGGTTTGTTGTTTTTTGTGACGTATAAGTGACGGCTAGAGAATGGTTATGGATATAGATTAAGTGTGGTGCTATCGGATGTCACCATTCGATTTTTATATATTTTGGCTTTGAACAACTTCATTTCGATGACATTGTTCTGCTGGAGAAGCCACCAAGGTCTGGTAAACGTAGTATCCGTTGGGGTTTTAGTTGAGTTGATTATGATTTAGTGAATAGAGTTTCAGTTATGAAAATTTGGTTGGGTTTTGACGTGGACGCTTCACATTTCAGATTGAACAATGTGTTCATCATCGGTAAGGGCACAAAAGCATTGGTAAGTTTACCGGGTGCAACGAAGGGTGTAAGGTTGACAATTGCTGAAGAAAGAGATAAGAGATTGGCTCAGAAGAAGGCCACATAAAGTGTTTGTTAATATTATTCATTATTCGTGTTTTTGAATGCACATTGTTAAGTGTTGTTTGTTGATTATTACATACAGAAATAAATAAATAAATGATTGTTAAATTGATTTTGTTGCGTTTCATACACACCACATCATTTGTTGCATTTCATCATTGGATAATACACCTATTCCAGGTGTTATTTCATGTGTGCTCATTTACATAAAGGTTTGGTTTGAGTCAGGAGAAAATCTGTTAAGTGCATATGAGGGAGAGATATTGTAACTTGGTTCATAAGAACAAAATGACTGTTAAGGAGACAAATTTGACCACACCAATTGTGACTAAAATGCACTGGAGGTAGGCTTTGCGAGCGTCGCATCGTTGCAACTCAGTGTGGGTGGGTATCTCACTGCACTGAAGGCTCGAACTGAAATGAATTGCAATCCACAGAATCAGTTGTTTTAAACTGATTGTGAAGGGAAAAGAAACTGACTAGTTATGTGACTGACACAAATCAAGAATTGTGTTTGTTGAAGATGCGAGATGGTAATAAAATCATCAAAATTGTGGGCAGTGTTGCAAGGTGTAGTGTGTGTTCATAAAGCGAGAGACGTTTCGTTGGCTGCACTCAAAAAGATTCTCACATCAGCAATATGCTCGAATGCAAATGCTGCGGTTCGAACACCTGAAGAACAACTGCCTCTAATTGACATGCCCATCGTTGAACCTCATCCCAAATCGCAAGCATTGGTCATTACAGGCTTACGGAAACAACTTGATTACACGTGAGTGATGCAGCACATTGATAGTTTATATCTTTCTCCTTCATGAGCACTCGAAAGAATGACATCTGCAGAGCTCAACCAGCATTATTGCTTGTTTTACTGATTGTGAGCATTCACTGTTTTTTTTTTCTGCATTTTGCATCTCTGTCGTCACATACTTCATCAAATGGATTTCATATGTCGCTATCAAATGAAACACTTCAAACGAATCTTCAAGCGAATCATCAAATGAAGCAATTCAAAATTTGTCGACTGAATTGTGAGATTTCTCAAAAGTTTCAGGCATCATCCGTTGGTTGTTGGTGAACCGTTTCGGAAAGAGGATATCCGAGTTGAAGAACTCAATTATATGGAACCAACCAGTTGTGGAGTTTGTCGTGAGCATTTTCTTGTTA